ACGCGGGTCCTCCTCGCTTTCCTCCCGCAAGACCTTCGACACCGCCGTGGGGATCCTGTCTTTGAGCATTTCGGGCCCCGCCTCCCCTGGAACCTCCATTCCGGAAGCTGCCTGCCGATGGCCCTCCCCTCCCGCTCGCTGAAAGCCTTTCCGACTCTTGTTTGCTATCCAGAGCAGACCAGACAGCCCCTTTTCAATGACCATATCTGCGAAGCGCTCGCCTACGTCTCCCCCCTCGCGCCTCCACGCCCTCCCTCCTCCGCCCCTGCCTGGTCTCGCCCCCTCATTCCGCAACACCGTGACCCTCGACCCTCCTGCCGCCTCCCTGTCCGCCCGTGCAGGCCCATTCAGCCGGTGGAACCATACAGCCACGAGCTTGTAGCCGTTCGGGACGAGTTGGCGGAGCACCTTCTCATCGTACATCGCCTCCAGGTGGCGCCAGAGATCCTCCACCACGTCGAAGGCGGCCATTCGCGTCTCCTCTATCGCGCACACCGCTCCCTCGGCGCTAACAGTGCCTCCCTCCTGCAGCTCCCCGCCGGCTTCCTCGATGAAGAAGAGTGCCTGGTCGTACATGTCGGAGAATCCTCCCAGAAAGGTGTTGATGGCTGGGAGGAGGTAGTCCTGCGTAGCGACAGCGCCCACGCAGGTCGACAGTGCCACCACTAAGCGTCCGAGCTGCACGTGCAAATGGTGCCGTGGGCTGTGCGGGGCCAGGGCTGGTGCCACGCGGGGGGAGGTCGAGGGGAAGGAGGGTCCCGGGAGGCTGGATGCTGGGGAAGGGGTGGGGAACGCCGGGGGAGGAGGAAGGGGGATGGCGAGGAGAAGCTGCTGCACGGGCACGGAGGGCTGCTGACAGTAGTGGAAAATAGCGCTGCTGGGCTGGAGGCTCGGGAGGAGGCCTGTCAGCACGGAGACGGTCTCCAAAAGGGCCAGTGAAGCGGCCTGGGAGGGCTGCGGCACGAGCTCCTGGGCTAAGGTGGGGATGATTTCCATCAGGAGCCGCTCCGCGACCATGGAGACGAGCACATCGTCGTCAATCTCCCTGCAGATGTTCACCAAGGCCCTCGCTTGGTACAGGTCCTCGTCCCACGCGGATGCTGCCCGGCTCGCGGCCTCCGTCCCGCTTTCTGCCCCTTCAACGCCTGCGCCCTCCCCTTGCCTGATCGCCCCCACGCCGGAGAGCAGCGTGGGGATGACGTAGCGCGCCATCAGACCAGGGCCTAGCATGTCGGGGGCGCCCAAATTGAAGACGGCCACGTACGCCGCTTGCTGCACCTCTAGGGGCGTTTCCGGCCCCAGGCTCTTGAGCATGAAAGGCAGGCAGTGCGTTAGAAAGCCCCCAGTGCCTCCCAAGCGGATGAGGAGGGACCAGACCGGGGAGACGAAGAGCGCGCGCAGGAGCCGGTGGTTCCTAAGCCGGCCCATGAAGGAGGCCACGCGAGGGAGGAGGAGTCGCTGTGTGTGACGGATGCCCAGTTTCTGGCCGAGCAGTTCCAAGAAAGGGTTGAGGCGCAGGATCACAGGCACCTCCACGTGCTCGTGCGGGATCACAGGCTGTTGGCCGCTCGGCCACTCCCCCCCATCTCCCTCCTCGGGCGCGTTTCCCGTGCCCCTCTCGTCTGTGCTCGCAGAAGCATGGCCATTGGCAGGAAAATGCTGGGAACGGCCTTCGTACGCCTCGAAGGGGGCCGGGTCATCCAGCACTCTCAGCATGTAGGGCAGGATCAAGGCGAAGGCAGGGAGGGGCAGCTCCGTCAGCTGCTGCGCGAGCGAAAGCGTTACCGAGATCGACTCGAAGTCCCCGTCGCTTTGATGGAGGTAGACTGTCGACAAATACCGGTACATGTCTTGGAAGTAGGGGGGGAAAGGGCCATCAAGCAGTCTGGCACCGGGAACCCCCACGCCAACCTCTCTGGTTGCGGGCTGGCCATCCTCCTCCTCCTCGTCGCTGTCCACCCCTTCTTCCGTGCGCAGCAAATCGACGGCCCGCGGTCGCCGCGTCGGGTCGCGCTGGAGGAGGGAGTGGAGCAGCGCCCGCACGTGATAAGGAAGATGGTAGGTTTCGCCTTGGAGCCCAGCCAAGCCGGCCCCCCGTGCGTCGTCCCTTTGTCGCCCCTCTCCCCCCGCCGCAGCGTCCCCGCCCAACATGGCCCCCTCCGACAGCGAGTTTTGTCGGAGACTGGCAACATCTTGAATCGACATGACGGGCTTGCCCAGGCACAGCTCCGCTAAAATGCAACCTGCTGCGAACATATCGTCGCGTTGCTGCTCGAGCTGTGTGGGAGCTTGAGAAGGGGCTGTGGGCGATCGAGGTTGGAGGGGCGAGCATGAGACAGGCGTCGAGTGGGAGAAAGACGAGAACGGGAGAGGCGGGGGTCCGGTCAGTGAGTATGCGGGCTCCAACCGCGCCTTGGCTTTCTGCGCAAAACTACCCACAGCCTGGACCACCTCCGGCGACGCCACGCACTCCCGGATTTGCTGCAAGTTCCTGTCCTCGACGGGGACGGTCGGCGCCCTCCGAAGCATGTCTGTCTCGTCCCCTGTGACCTCCACGCCCTGGACCGCCATCACATAGGACGCATGCCCCCCCCTTTCCTCGGACTCCCGCCCCCTACATGCGGCTGCCTGCAAATCCGCTGCCTGGAGGACGTTCAGGCCGCGTCGGAGACTACGCCGCTGAGGATGGGGCTCGCGGAAGATCTGAACGAATCCAGGATTTTTGTAGTCGTGGCCAAGGACCCGCTGGCCGGTCCCGGCCTCCCCCGACCGCAACGGCACGTTCTTGTTGTGGACCGCGGCTGCGCCTTCTAGGCAGTGGCCGAAGGTCAGATCGATCCACAGATGCATGCGGGCGGAGACCTCCTCGCTCTCGAGCAAGGCCCGGTGGTAGGCGATGAAAGCCGAGGCGTCGGGGCACCAGGGCGGAAACGACACGTCGGCCATGCCTATGGCGCGATGCAGGGAGGCGAAGACGCTGGCGTCCACGAAAAACTCGGGGATGCACTCGTCCGGTGTCCAGTCGAACATGCGCGCTATGTTCGAGGGGTAGTGTTGTGGCACAAAGTCGGCGCGAACGACACGACGGAGCACCGCCAATGGCGTGCGTCGTGCCATGTAGATGTAGTAGGTGATCTCGCTCAAGGACTCAGTGATATGGTGGGGAGGGGTGGAATGCCTGTACGCCGAGTCCAGCTGGGCATCCCCCTTATTCAGTCGAAATTTGCTTTTACTCAAGTCGCGCCAGCCGCCATTTTGAACCTTGAGGTCACTCACCCAGGGCAAGACCGGGTGGAATATGGCGTCAATCATTGAACGCCCCGCCGCGGCATTAATGGCCATGAGGTACTCCAGGTTCCCCACCCGCCCCTCCATCCAGCGCAGGGTCAGGGGCACGTCGTGGCCGGGAGGACGAGGTATGGAGCAGTTTGAAGATGGCGGAGGCGCAGAGGGAGGGGCTGGGGAGGGCGCGAGGGG